GTCCTCAAAGCTTGGGTCATTCTTGACTCTTCTTTTTCTAACACATCATACCCAGTCCTTTAGCCAATCCTTTCAATTCTATTTTCAAATATGTATCCTGAGTCTAATCCCTTTTAACAACTGTCACAGCTCCCACACTATTTCAGGCCACCATTATATCCCATGAAGATTTTCCAGTAACCTTTTACACAGTTTCCCTATAACCATTCTCGCTCTATTACAGACTAATTTCCATATTGTAGCGGAAGATGCTATAACATAATAGCTACAATGTGTAGCACAAAGATGCTTTAAAGTCTAAGTCAGAGCACACTCTCTTGTCTCAAATGCTTCAGATAGCTTTCCATCTAAAGTCCTAAGTTCTCAGTGCCCTATATGACCTGACTATACAGTACTCCCCCCGACCCCTTCTTATAATACTCAGACAATTGCCCACTCTGCTCCAGCCACACTCCCTTTCTTTCCCTTTCTTAACTTCACCATGCAAGGTTCATCTCAAAGCTTTTGCATGTATAGCTCTCTTTGTCAAGGACACTCTCTTCTGAGGTTGCCATGTGGCCCTTTACTCATTTCATTTAATCTCTCTGCTTCAAGTTCATCTTTTCTTAAAAAGCTTTTCTCTGACCACCTGTGCTCTTGATCCATTATCCTGTTTTATGTTTATACTAGAGGCCTGTTGCACGAAGAGATTCGTGCAATAGGCCTTCCCTTCCCCTGGCTGCCGGCGCCGGTTTTCCTCGGCACCCGGGACCCAGGCCCTCGCTCCAGACGGAGCCTTCAGTCTCCGCAGCTCTGGATGGAGCCTTCAGTCTTCTCTCCGCCACTTCGCCCCTACGTATGCAAATTAACCACCGTCTTAGTTGGGTTAATTTGCATACTCTCCTGATTGGCTGGTGAGTGTAGCGGAGGAACAGTTAATTTACATGTTGTCTATTATTAGGTAAGATTTTATATCACTTATCAATAATATAACATCATTTATATTAGATGTGCTTATTGTCTGATGGCTGCCCTGTGCAGGCCTAGAATGTAAAATCCATACAGGCAACAACTTGGTGAGTTCTATTGGATGCCTTTTATTATAGAACCCAAAATATCTGGAACATAGTAGGTGCTCAATAAATATTTGAATAAATTAATAAATAGATGAATATGAAACTCAGTTTTAGATGATGAATAAAAGTCTCATATCTGGAAACTCTGAGTTCATGTGAGAAAACAAGTCATCTGCGTGGATCCGGAGGCATCGAACTGACTAAAGTAAGGCTCCTAGAATATAAAACAAACTTAGGATGGGCAGCAAAAACAATAGTGAACCAAGGCTACTAATATCCTTGGCAACTAGCCACAGAAGACCAACAAGATCAAGCAGGAACCAGCCTGGCATTTGTGTGCAATATTTGCTCATATTTCTTCTTGCATAAAGAGAAGGCACATCCACATGAAGCAAATGCAGTTAAAACAAATGCTGACAACTGGTTATAAATTAAATTAATGGCATTCTCATTAGTTTATGCTTGTTTAGGGAAAGGACATTAGGCAGTAGTTAAATGGGGCCATTTAAGGTGGTTCTAAAAAATATTATGTCTGGATTTCTCTTTCTGATATCTTTTCTAGAGAAAATACATATGCCTAAAATAATCTTTTCTAAACCTACATCTGTAATATACAATTGCACAAACATAAATTTACTTATGGGGACACCAAGACAAAATATAAAAATTGATACAGGCTTTAAAAAAGGCAGGATATAGAGGTACAGTATATATGACTCTGAAATGACCTTGGGTATATTAACTGGATGAATGGTCACAAAAAAGAACAAGCAGATGCAGTACAGAAGGAAGTGAGGTCATCAAAAATAAGATGACTGAAGAGCAGAACACCATTAGTAACATATTTATTCAGCTACAGGAATAAGTTCTAATGAGGATGAATGGTTGGAATCCTAGAACATAATAGAGCACATGATCATGACCTCAGAGAAATCCTTGTAGGAAAATGGGAATAGAAATAGAGGCTTACCAAAGGAATTGGACTTCTTTCCTTTACACACAACTGATTTTGGATTATGCAGTTTTGAACCCTTGTTAACTGTAATCCTTTAAAAGATTAGTTTAACCAATGCTGTATGTACCGCTGGAAGATATGTATCTGCCAAACTCAACTTATTGATGCTCAAATTACATTCAGCTTCACCACCTTCATCGAGGTGTGCTTTTTGTGTCTAAGGCTTTGTGTGTCTAAGGCTTTGCATGTGTGTCTGCCCAAAAACACGCACACTAGCAGTCAACAAAGGAGAATGGAGATTATATATTTGAGGATAATATATACCTTCATTGTTTTTATAAAGGAATGATAAAATTCTAACCTCAGTTAAAGAATGAAATAAATAATATTGTAGGATCTTAAAAATTTCAAAATCTTTCTTTTAATATATGAAGAACTCAGACAAAGTGGCAAAATACTATACTAACTTGAGCAACGAAACATATGAAAATAGTGGAAAAGCTGAGATGAAAACCCAGATTTCCTAGTGCTGGGTATTATTCCTTTCATTTCACTAGTTCTCAGTCTTAGGATCTTTACTTTACAAACAAATAAAACACAACAAAACAACTTTCTCCCTGACAGAACAAATATTTTAAATAAGTATATATTTTCATGTCTATTGTTATGTTTCAGAACATAGCACAAATGTTTCTGTTGGTATATTTTAAGGGTTTGAATTGCAGAAATACTGAAAGGCTTCCTAATTTCTTCACATACACTGCCCTGGGTTAAAGTCACTCAGAGAAAAGAGTATGAAAGAAAAGTCATACTGTCCAGGGTTAGAGTCACTGAGAGAAAAGAGTATGAGAAGTGTGTGTTGCACTGTCAGGCCTTTTCCCTCATCATGGCTTTCAGCGTTTTTATTATTTCTTTAAGGGATGGAAACACCACTCTGATTTTGTAGAGCCTATGTTGCAATTCAGCATCACAAGAGACAAACTTTCTTCTTATTTCAATTTATGAAACTTAAATTTTGATGTATTATAGACTCTTCTGATAAACTTTTCCATTGCCAACTTTATTTCTACCAGTTTTAGAAAAAAAAGCCATAGTAGGCTCTAAGGTATCTAATTTTCCAATCTTGAATGAGTAACGTTTTTTTTTTAATTTACTCTAATTTTTTAATTAAATTTATTTGGGTGACATTTAATAGGATCATATAGGTTTCAAGTATACATTTCTATGATGCATAATCTGTATATTTCATGGTGTGCCCATCACCTAAAGTCAAAACATCTTCCGTCACCATACATTTGGCCCCTTTTACTACCCTCAAATCCCCTTCTATCTGGTAACCACCATCCTATTGTCTGTGTCTATAAGTTTCAGTTTTATATCCCAAAGATGAGTGACATCATATGGAATGAGTCATTTTTCCTTTTTTGATTCATGCTGTGTGATTCTTATGAATCTGATATTATTATTTCAAGTAAAGAGACCGAGCTCAAAAAACATAACAACTATTAAATGGTTCAAATCTAGACTCATCCTGTCACTGGCAAAATGTCTTTTCATATAGTTCTTTGGGAAAAAGAAATACCCTTTTTATTAACAAGATGAGCATGCAATTGAAGATGAGATGCAAAATACAGGAAGACTCAATTTCCGGAAGCCAAGGGCTGTTTCCTATTCACCACTGAATCCTCTACACTTAACACACCAGCTTAACCACTAAAATCTATTGATACTTATTGAGTGTTTACTATGTGCTACTAGCTTTAGGTATGGCCTATTAAGCTCAATAAACACATTTTTAAAGATGTTAAGAATAATTATTCTTATTTTATAAAAGAAGAAATGGAGGCTCAGTTAGATGAACTAACTTAATAGGACCACAACGAAGTTGGGTTTCCAGATGGAGAAGTTTGGTCTCAGTACCTACAATATGAATCCACTTTCCAGTGTTGTTATCGAAGACACTCGTTAGGTGAAAACAAAAAGGGGCCAGGTCACCTAGAGGACTCTGTGACCACACTCCTGTGTCTTTTTCATCTAACAATAGAACTGTAATTTAGAGCTGATTTTTCCTGGGGAGTGAAAGGCAATTACTTTAGAGTTGATGCTCTCTTGCTCATGTCAGTTCACCACCTAGAGGCCATTTTTACAGCTCATCCTCCAAATCACTACATGTAGGGAATTATATCACATCTGACAGGGCTCTTTTGCAGCACCACAGTTATCCCCATTATCATCTCTTTTCTGAAAAGCTCCATCAGTTTTGTTGCTGAACCATCACTCACTTTCCTTCTAAGACTTGATCTTATCTTTTGTAAACACACACACACACACACACACACACACACACACACACACACCATTTTCTAGACCATTCATGTATGCCTGGCGGAAAACTTGCAAGAAGGAATAACCTTAACTGAGGATGCTTATTAATTTTTTTCATCAGAGATGAACATATTTTTAATTGGCAGCTGGAAGGTTTTCTTTATATAGATGTGGGGAAATGGATTATATTGTCAGCAAAAAAAATTGAAATGACTTAATATTTAATAAAGAAGTTCTTTCAGATTAGAACATAACAGTTCTCAAAATTTTCATCCTATGAAAATTTTATCATCAACAACTTGAGGATGCCCATAAATATAAACTATAAAATTTTGTTTGAAAATGAAGGTTTGAGATCTCCCTAAATCTGTACTCCACAATCTGTGACCAGTAATTTTCAAAGATGTTGAGTAGAGAATTACAGTATTGTGCAATTTAAAATATTTGACAGCATTCAGTTCTTCAACCTAAATGGAAAAACGGTCAGCCCATACTTTCCTGACAGGCACAATAAGGAGAAGCAGACCCACCCCACGTAAATTCATACCGAATCACGCAGACACACCGATACAAAATTAAATCAGACTTGCACCTGAGAATTCAAGAAATGTACTACCTTGCCCCAAACAGGTAAGAATCCGATTACCACAAGGATGGATAGTTACCCATGGCGAAGAAGGGGATTCCCAGCAGGGTGGAGTTGTACTTCCCATCAGTGATGAAGAAGATCCCTGCTGCCGTGACGATGGAGATGCACACTGTGAGCACCCCCAGGAGGCCTAGGAAGGGCTTGCTGCGCAAACAGTCCTTCATGGAGCTGGAGAGGGTGGCTGTGGTCAAGATCAGCACAAGGCTCACCAGGACCTTGCTCCTGGCCAGGATGCTGGTCTTATGAAAGTCTCTCCAGAGGCTAAAGGATGCTAAAGAGAAGAGCTGAAGTTCCTGGTGCTCTTCCTGGAGCTTCCTCATAAGCTTACAGAACTCATTCTCCCACTTCTCCCCTATGAGGTCCTGGGTGGCAGAGCCATAGGTCTGGAGGTAGTAGGTGATTTGAATGGCTCTGGCTGACTTGACCCGTTGGTCCTTGCTGTTTGGCACTTCTACTACCCCGCCCAGTTGGTGTCCAATAAAACTGTTCCTCCCATCCTTGAAAACAGAAACAAAGGGAGACGTAAGTTACAAGAGAGATGCATAATCCAGAGGACAGCTTCTTATTCTAAGTGAAGGAGAACAAGGAAGGCAGAGATGGGCTTTAGCAATTGTGGAACTGATATGTGGGTGGAGTGACATGTTAGATTTTATGTTTCGCCTTTGGGAGCCACATGGGATACCATGCAAGATGATCAGGGTTAGAAAAGATGCAAAGAGAATTATGAAGCTCTACAAGTCTTGCCACATGCATAGGAAATGGGCATGACTATTATTTTGATCTCATCCATACCCTCATTGCCACCATTTCCTTCTGTAACAACCCACTGTAATTCCTTAATGTGGATCAAGTTTTATGATTCAGTTTCAGCCCAAAATGAAGCATGGCATGAGTTAACATTTCAAAAGTTAAACTATTCACTTAATAAATAGGTGCTAAACTTTCTAGGGTTAACACACACACCTACACCACACACACTTAGACACACAAACTTTACACGCACATCCATACTCATCCTTTATATTCTGGGAATACAACTGCATATCACAGAACAAGTAGAATAAAATATTGTTTTGTTTTTATAATCAATTTTATAGTGTTGAAATGTTTTTTGAAATCTTATATGAGCACCTATTCACTCATTATAATTTTCCCTCTGAATACATGCCTCAGTCTTACCGTAGGTTGACCTCTTTCCAATAGAATACAGTGAACAAACCCCCTAAATGAGACTGCTCACATTTCAAGTGGGTTTGTTAAAAGTCATAACAACTTCAGAATTTCACATAAGGTAGAGTAGACAAGATCATAAGAGTAGGATATTTATCCCTCCTGTTTAAGGTGCTCCTGAGTCAGACACTGATTCTCATCCAATGTACCTTACCACTTAGAACAAAATCCATGACAGCCATTATTACATTTTAATCAGTTTTTGTTTTCTATGTTTTGTTTTCTTTTGTTTTTGCCACACTGTCATTTACTCTAATGCCAATGGCTGTCAGATGGAATATTGAAACCAATAGCTGGTTGCAAGATGGAATATAACATCAAAAATGGGTAACATCTAAAATGCAGGTATTGAGTGGGACACAGGTATGAAGGTCAATTTTTGCTAGATCAGGCAAGCCATTTATCTCAAGAGGATATAAAAGAGTAGATTCAGAGCAGAAAGCAAATCTTTCTAGAAGGGTAGTACAGAGGGTAACAAACCAACAACGTTATAACCATGGTTATTTTCACCAAACTGTTATTGTGGACTTGTGTAGTACAGACACCTGTATCTGAGGTTCTTGTTTGTATTTGTATTTTTTTAATATATATTTTATTGATTTTTTACAGAGAGGAAGGGAAAGGGTTAGAGAGTTAGAAACATTGATGAGAGAGAAACATCAATCAGCTGCCTCCCGCACACCCCCCACTGGGGATGTGCACACAACCAAGGTACATGCCCTTGACCGGAATCGAACCCGGGACCCTTCAGTCCACAGGCTGACGCTCTATCCACTGAGCCAAACCAGTCAGGGCTGTATTTGTATTTTTAACATGCACCAAAAGCAACACAAAAGTTTGAGAAATTTACAGAGAGTACCAATGTTGTTAGTGGCATCATCCAGAATTAAGAGGAACGAAATTTTATAGTCACTTCACACACCCATATTTTCTCCACCTGTTCAATAGAAATAATCTTTCTGTTTAACTCAATCTGGCCAGCTGTAAGTGAACAATATATTTCTAAGTAAGAATTTGATTGAGTTTTGTTTTTTTTCGTTTACTTGGTTTATCTCCCACTTCTAGTCATCTTTTTAACTTATAAATATCAAACTAAAATTCCAGCTGTAGGTTCACAAAGCTCTATCTCCACGAAACCCCCTGTGTTCTCCGATGAGCTGTAAGTAAAAAGTGGAAAAGCTTTGAGAAAGGCGTGAGAATCCTGACTCACACTGAGAGATTGTGAAATATAGTTTCCTGTGTTTCAGTCCAGGAAACATAGACCCTTAATTAGGCTTGTTTACTTTTGTTTTAAGCTTGGTATAATTTTAAGTTCCAGTCTTGGTTTCTACTTCTTTGAAATCCCATCTGTGATGTTGAGTTGTGCTTTTGATTATTTGAAAGAGTATTTTAAAAGCTGTACATATTCACTTGAGAATGTACAGTTCCACGTATCTTTACTCATTTTCATAATCAAAAAATATTTCTGAGGGATCTTTAGTGACAGAGCAAAGATTTATGCATCCCTTAGGCCTCATTTAGAGATTATAGTGGATCAAAGAAGGTGTTGGTAATGTATCCGGACAAAAGTAAAAATTTTAAAAAGGCAAATATAGATTATTAAATAACTGATCTTCATTGGCTTTGGCTAACAGCTTACCCCCCCCTTTTAAGGTGGTCTAATTTTCATTTTTTTATTATTTCGTAAAAAAATATGGTTTCATTCCATTATATTCAAATCAAAGCAACAAATAGAATGAGTTCCTCTCTCTTAATTTGCTTTACTCCATGAACAAGAACAAAATAAGCAAGGTCTTTAGATGTCCTTGAATTGAAAGCGCTATTGAATGGTTCACATTGGAGACAAGCCATTGGTGCAATTATTATACTCAGTACAGTCTTGAGAAATATACTTTCATACATTATTTGTAAAGGGAATTCTATTATTTTGTAAGGGGAGGCAGAAGAGTTATTCAGTTTCCTAAACTAACCAGTTCATAGGTGCCTCTATGTAGGAGAAAAAAGGAAAGAATATCACATATGTTGTAATTATCCTCTGGACATGTAAGAAGCTAGGTAGGCTTAATAGAGAGAATACATAATCAGCAGTCATGTGACCTGAATCACTGTGTGCATCTCATTCTAATTGGATAAAAAACCCTTGTCTGGTTCATTTCCCCTCCTAGTGTTCCATTTTCTTATTTATAAAGTGAGTAGATATGAGTATATGAGTAAATGTTTATGACACTGAAGGCATTTTCAGCTCTATCCATATATATAAAAGGTTGATATGCAAAGTGTCCCCTCAGGAGTTCAACCATGAGACCAAGAGTTCAATCACTCACTATGATGTGGGCTGACCACCACCGGGGTGTGGCAAGGAACATGGCAGCGGGGTCCTGAAGGAGTGGAGGAAGGAGGAAGGAGGAGGCAGGGAGGCAGGCAGGCGGGGGGAACCGAACACTGTGGTGGTGGTGCGTGGGTGGTGAGAGAAGGAGGAGGCAGAGAGGTGGGGAGGGGGGAACCTCGCAATGGCAGTGTGCGGACAGCAGCGAGGGAAAGAGGAGGCAGGGAGTTGGGGAACCTGATCAGCCCTGATCGCCAGTCAGGCCTAGGGATCCTACCCATATATGAATTTCGTACACTAGGTCTCTAGTTATTCTATGAAAATACTGTCCAGAAAGCTACTTTGGAGAGATCTAAATGTCAGAATGATATCATTACATCTAATAGAGCCATAAATTGATTATTTTTACATTCTACTCCACTCATTGGGTAGAACTGGTTTGTTTAATTAAATAAGCAACTAGAGGCTCTAAGAAGACAAATCTGCCAGTCACCGGGATGAACACAAGGTTCCAACTCAACTGAGACAACCTCAATTTCAACACTTTCCAGAGTTCTATGGGGTGATTTCAGGGAAGTCAGGCTGGCCCCCATTCTCCACTAAATGTTCTTTATTATTAAAACTATCTTACATGAAGGTCTCCTTTTCCCAATATTTTCCTCTCCATTAAACCAACAGCCAACCATTTAACACATGGTGATTCATTTCCTCCTTTCCCAGTGAAACCTCCTACACAAATTCTGAAATTCCTTTGAGTGCAAAATCACTTTTATGTCTCAATGAAGATAAATCTTGAAATAAAAATATGACAAGATGGTAACATATTACTTTCATATGCTCTCCTTTTTCAGTGTTTCACTGAATTCAACTGTCATTATTAGGATGAGATAAATTGAAGTCCCCAACTCATATCCTGTGACCATTTCCACTCCTCTTCAATATGTTTTCCATATTAAAGGTGAAACATATTTCCCCAGTTCTAAATAAAATCACATAATTTCTTCACTTAAAACTTTCTACTAGCTTCCACTTGTACCAGGAATAAAATAAGAACCCCTTACCAGGCCTGCAAGGCCCTGAATGGCTCATTGCTGGTTGAGCCCACAGACCTCTTCTCCTAGTCTTCCACTCATGAATTCTGCACCAGATTTTCTGCCTTTTCACCTACTCCCTGAAGTTAATTTTCACTTCATGGCCTCTGCACCAACTATACCCTCTGCCTAGAATGCTTTTCTCTGTTCTTATAGCCAAGGCTACTTCCTTATGGAGATCTCAGCTTCTAATAGACTATTTGAATCACATAGTATAAACTAGACACCTCCTTCCCAGCAATCACTCCATCACATGGTCCTATTTTATTTCCTTCCTGCTAACCATTTCTACCTGTAGTGACCCTCCATTGATCATTTAATCATTCCTTTTTCTGTCTCTTCCAGGAGAGTGTGTGTTCATTGAAAGCTGGCATGTTTCCTATCTTGCTTACTGATAATCTCCCTGGGCCTAGAACAAAGCCTGATGTATAATAAACACGTCATAATATTTAACTCAGTGAGTTCACTTAGAGGTGTGGTAACATTACTTTTTAGAGACTATTTTGCTAAGAAGGGGAGAAGTAAGAGGCAGCTCAAAGTATTTGAGGACAGTAGGACCGCAGATGAAGAGAGGTGTGCATAGAAATTAGAGATGATACAGAAGAAAACAAACTTTATCCTTTTTTTTCCAATCTGCGTAGTTTAGTGAAATATTTCCCCTAAATATTTTTCCTCTTCTACTTCCTCTGCACACTAATAATGTGCAGTAAGCTTGTCAACGGACAAGGGGACTTAGTGAGTAGCCAGAAAAAGGATTTGTATGCACTATGGTTGGGACAAAGAACAGCACGAGATGTTCAAAGAACTGAAGGAAACTATGGAATTTGAGACTAGAGAGGAAAGCAGGGTC